TGCCAAGAAGACAAACACTTTCTATTTAGTGTCACCATCAGATTACAAATAAATCTATGCGTTTTGATTGAGCATCGTCCATCCATCCATCTTCTGCTGCTTATCCGGGGTCGGGTCGCAAAGGGAGCAGTTCCCTTCCCTGGTCACACTCACTAGCTCTGACTGAGGGATTCCAAGGTGCTCCCCCACCTGGGTCTGCCCCTCGGTCTCCTCCCAGCTGGACGTGCCTGGCACACCTCACTAGCTGTACCACCTCAACTGACTTCTTTCTACGCAAAGAAGTAGAGGTTCTACTCCGAGTACCTTCTTTTATTTACACATGCTTATTTAAACATCAAGGACATTGTGGTCTTCGCTCTAAGATCACCTTGTAGTAAACTTAATAGTCTTTAAAGGGAATACTTCACCCCCAAAATGAGCTTTTGTTAATCAATGACTCACTCACTTGTTCTTGTAGGACTCACGTAGAACGAAGATTCGGAAAACTGAGAAACTTGTTTTTAAATTGAAGTGAATGGAGGCTGCGTTAAACAACTGCAAACAAACAACTTATACATCTGTTTACAAACTCTCACACAACTATTCTGCCTAAACTGTCTCACACTTGCACAGGCGTGTTACTCGTCTTGTTGGGGGTTTTACGTTCACCATGGAACCATGCGAGACAAACAATGTCTTCTTAAAGAAATCAAGGTAACAGGTGGAAAAATACCCTTGACATAATGAAATGCTGTGTTTAAAGCGCCCTATGTAACTTCTGAAAGAAGACATATCCTACTCTTGCTGTAAATATAGATAATATACTTGAAATATGTCCATATTATTTCCTCTAAATGAATATATTATTCTAAGAGAAGCCTACTTGTCATACTGTTGGAAGGAGGCAAAGCTACAGATGATGAAAGCAGCATACCATATATTAGCCGCTCAATCAAAGTCTAGGATTTGTTGAATGGATTTTGGTTAGGTCTGTTGTTGACACATGCTTAAGAGATTGTTGTTTTTTGTTCTACAACATCAAATACGTCAGTAAACACTGCGCTGTTGAATGTCAGAAGCTTCTAAGTTTACTAAAAAACCACTAAACGTCATTGGAGTGAACACAAGTCTGTCTTCAGCTTAGCGGACGTGATGCGCAGCATTTCAACTGTGATGTTCATTTATAGCCTAACATTAGGTTCTTACTTCTAGCGATTGCATTTAAAAAATGATAAAGTGTTGTAAAGATGTGGAGACTGAAAGTATCTTGTTCAACAAGACATGTAGATACACATGTGTTGGCCACAAAGCTTATTTTCTGCTATAATTCAAACTATAATGGAGGAATTGGCTTCCTGTATGTGATCCCTGCAGCACTCTATATTCTCACAGTGTGATATTTGAAGATTATTGTGCTCAATTAGGACCGTTTGTGCGATCAGCTTTGAAATTGCTCTGCTAAAGCGTTTGTGCACTGAGGGTTTGACCTCTAATATGACAATATGACAATATTTTGTAGCATTTATACAAACTTTTAACAAGACGAAACCATCAGCAGAAAAACACCCATTTTGTCCTCGTTAAAGACAAGATGGTGGTTTAACAGAGCCTGTGCAGGACGATGATACTTTCACAACAGATTCACGAGCTGATACTTCTCTGCCATATATTCAGCAGTGGACACTGATAAAAATACATTTAAATTCTCCACAGTCTTCCCCTCAGTTTCCCTCCAGTAAGACCCATTGGTGGCCAGCAGGGCTTGTGGGAATGATGATGGTGGGAACTGGATACCTTGTGGCCAGAAACCAGAGCAGGTCACTGTACACCGTGATAACATTCCCGAATCCACATGCCAAGTTTCCCCTTTGCCTCCTCCTTCTCCACTTTTCCACTCCTCTCCTCCTCTGCCTCTCCCTCTCTCCTCTGCTTTCATTCCCCTCTACTTTCCTTGATATCTGATCTGGCGGAGACACTCAGGTTACAGTTTTTACAGCTAAGCCAGCCCTGCGCTGTATACATTCCTTTCTCCACTGTTTCTTAGCCCACTCTCTGCAGCCCTCTCATATCCCCTCCATGCCCACTCCTCCGTGTCCTTGATTACTCACCGGAGCTTATTTTACCGTGGCACACATTAAGCAGCCAGATGAAGGAAACACTGTCGGACTGTATGATCCCTCACAAGGGCACATTGTGTGTCTGTCTGTGTGTTTTGGTCTGAAATATTGAGGATGAGAGGAAAACTGGGTCCTTTTCTTCTGAACACTTGATAGAGCAGAATCGAAGAGTTTTCTGCAGGAAATCAATACGCTTAACTTATTTGGCTATTATTATGGCACATACTGTTAATAAGGTGTCGCTTGTAATGCTGCGTTCAGGTTAACACGCTAATTTCTAATGCTTCCAACCAATGACCTTAATCAGATCAGATACAATTATATTTGTTCGACAACTTATTAACTCCCGTAATGTCACATTAACAATGAAGGTATTGAAAGGGAAGCTGCAGCTGTTTTTCATCTATCAGTGGATCGCTGTTTTCCTAAATTAAATCTGTGGACAGCCGCTTGTGTGTGTGTGTGTGTGTGTGTGTGTGTGTGTGTGTGTGTGTGTGTGTGTGTGTGTGTGTGTGTGTGTGTGTGTGTGTGTGTGTGTGTGTGTGTGTGTGTGTGTGTGTGTGCAATAGGAGATGATATTCAAGGTTGCGTAATGAGCTACAATCAAACTTGTTTAGCCTTTGAAAGTGTTTTGACACCTTAACCACATCTGCTCCTTCATTCAGTCGCTTCTCCACGGTGTTGGCAGAGATAAAGGATTTGTTGTGGGAGAGGTGTTTTTCCCTATAGCCCAGCAATAAAACGGTGTTTTTTACTGACATATCTATGGGAAAATCCACAAGCTACTGCTTTTTCATTTGGTCAGAGATATATCTGAGTAAGTGAGAATGCGAAAATGCAATGTCAAGATTATTCGGTCAAAATATTTGAGATTCGGAACGTTATTCTGATAATAGACTGTATAACATATGCTCAAAACTTCTTAATTTAGCATATTGGAACCACAGGAACTTTGAAAATGTTAATCACGTCTTTTTAACAGAACATCATTTCAAAGAAAAATAAATTAACGACAAAAATATAAATGTAAAAATAGCAATATTGTATGAGTCTTTTTTTACATGTTATTCCTGCACTGAAAAAACAGGCTGTATTTTTTCAAATGTTTTATGATAACAGCTACTACAAAGCTTTCTAAAGTCCCTGTGAGGATATTCACAAATATCCAGATTTAAAGTCAATTGTATCATAATCTATTATAATATCCTAGATCGTCCCGTCCCTAGGTGTATATTCATATCCCATCTCACAGCCATGACTGATAACAGTCACTACATTGTGCTTACAAATAAAAATGACATATTAGGCTGCTTTCATAAAATTAAATGTTTAACCGACACGTTCAAAACATTGCGAAATCTGTCAATTCATTGAACCCTGAATGATGACCCACGTCACACAGCATCTATCATAAACCTGCAAATAAAACATATCTGACTGACATCCCATAATTACTCGGTCTATCTGATAAATTACAACAGGAGACATTTTAATAGATTTTCACAGTCCAAATTGATTTATGGTAATATTTAGCTCTATTAAAGAATTAGCAAATAAAAACGTGGACAGACAGATGTGTTTAAATGATGCTCATAAAGACTCGGCTCCACTGAGAATACCACAAGTGCCCCCTGATAAGAAATAAGGAAATGTCTCCATTGAGAGACCCTGACCGACTCCATTCCATGTTACTGCATGATCCCTTGTTTCTCTGTTAACCACCAACAAAGCATCTATTGTCATCCAAAAAAATAAAATGTGTTTTACAGTAAGTGGTGGCACGTGAACGCGCGTGGTATTATGGAGAGGTCTAAATGCAAAAAATAAAGGCTTCTTTATCACAGGGTTGTTTCAGGACTCGCTCAGAGCCAGCACCCTCGCGCCTCTCTCTGACAGCCTAAAAACCATCATTTCTACAATAATTCTCCCCAACGTGATCACCTGCAGGTCCACCCGAGAGCAGATGTGTCTCTGCCCAAATGTGTACAAACAACGAGGAGATGAAGACAAAGCGGACACACATCCTTCCTTCCTCTCTCTCTCTCTCTCTCTCTCTCTCTCTCTCTCTCTCTCTCTCTCTCTCTCTCTCTCTCTCTCTCTCTCTCTCTCTCTCTCTTCTCTCTCTCTCTCTCACACTCTCACACACACACACACACACACACACACACACACACACACACACACACACACACACACACACACACACACACACACCACACACACACACACACAAATTGAGCACTTTCTTTCTCCACAATGAACCGCACAGCTCAGAGCTAAAAAATCACAATATGCACCAAAAAGAAAAAAAGAAACAAGGTGAGGGTGAATATTGGGGATAGGCCGAACACTGGAGACAATGTGCTCCTTTCGAGTGCGTAAAGCTCACAGACGCACATCTGGATCACTACGCCTCTGGCCACACACACGCATAAACAAAAACACACACGCATCGTGGAAATGCGAGCGTGCCCCCCCATTGATGTATCCTAATTATGCACATTGGTCTGCTCTCCTTTGCGCCGTAGTGTAACAGTATTAATAGTAATAGTAGAGGCACTGTTGACGCCTTCACTGACGCACTGGATTTTCCATTAACTCCATGAAAGGCAGGCAGGGCAACACAAACGGATAAATGATGACATGAGGGCGACACACTGTATTCCTCATTGATTCCAAACTTACTACAGGAGCGCTGAATGGGTGCCGCATCCATTGTGCGAGGCGGTAAATACTGCCGCTGCTCATGCTGCCATTCAGCGTCACAATAGAACTTGGGTATGAAAAAATTAATCATAAATCAAAGTTTCACTATCATGCAGCCTATTGCACTTGAGTGTATTTCCACAGAGGAGCAAGCACTCCACGCGTAATCACATGCAAGTGTGCACAGAGCCTGTTTACCTTCATCTCCTCATTTATTTCCCTTTTCACCGGGTGCGCTGGCTTTCGGCTTCTTTTATTTTCCGGAGGTCTGCCCTCTTTTTCCATCTCTGCCATGTTCCCTCTGAGATACTTCTGTCAATATTTGCGGTTGAGGAGGGGGGGTGAGGAGGGGGGTGAGAGAAGAGAGGCAGCTGTTTACAGTCTCCAGACGGCGGATGTCTTGCAGCTTTTCAGCGGCCCGCGTGACGCTGCTGGTGATGCCGCCGAAGGCTTGAGGTGCCCGGCTAAGTCAGCCATCTTCTGCCCGTATCCTCAACGGTCCGTGCGCCAGTGGTGAGCCGCCTCTGTGAGTCAAAGGAGAGGTTGAGTGAGGGGAAAAACGAGACAGGGGGAGGGGCGTGTGCTGAAACATTATATGACGCGTTGGTGATCAGAGGGGGGCTATTTCTTCTCGCTTTCCCATGGACTGCAATCAGAGCAGTCACATCCACTTAACGCTGCTGCCTATGGTGGGGGGCTGTAAGCAGCAAACAGGTGCCCACACACTCTGCAGTCCCATATTGTTCTTCAGGGGAGGCTAACAACCGACTGCTGTTGGTTAAAATACAATCTGGTGTTTTTATTAGTTTCTTCACAGGTTTAGACACAAACTCAAATTGGAGGTTCCAGAGCATGAGTTTTAACCAAAGGAACTGTGCAGAACCTTGATACTTCACCTCCAAAATGGTAATTTGTACATCAGCTTCTCACCTGGTTCTACCTTGATTTTTTGATCAAACTTTAGTTTTCTCTCGTGTCTCCACAGTGATTTAAGAATTTTAAAAACATTTCTTGTGTAATGAAAATAATGGGAGGCTGCGTTTAACGACACATTTATATAAAATCTGTAATCTGTTTTCAAACTCTGACATAATCCAAATATCATGTATCCAGTTGTATGCTCAGTGCTTTCCAAACATATGTGCTTTTACTAAATTCTTAAGTCTTTGAAATATTTCTGAACCGTCCAAATTCTGCGAGTTAAGGTTTTACTGAAAATGCAGTTGACTGGATAAAGGATGATTCAGCCCAGTGTGAGAGTTTGTTAATGGATAGTATCACTAAAGTTTATAGTGGCCCCCATCTGAATTCATTGAAGAATTTGCTCTCGTTTTTGGGTTCTTCCTTCATTAAAGGGAGAATATATTTATTGAAGATTTGAAGTGAGCACAGTAATTGATTAAGAACTGATCATTTTGAGGGTAAAGTATTTGCAGCAAGAAGCTCAATATACAACGGAAACGTGGACACTAAAAAGGGATGCTCACATTGACTGGAACTCTTGTTGATTGATATCCGGGGATAATGAATTGGGCTAACTGTCACATGCAGTCACTGGAAAAGATTACCTAAAATGTAAGTTTTACTGGCTTATTTTAACAATGTGGTCGCATAAGTCCTTCTGATATTACTGCAGATGTGCTGTGAGTTAGCGAGCTAACATAGCTAACCTAACCATTTATAATATATTGAGAAAACACAATTATGAAACAGAGTAACTCCTACTAACGTTACTTCTAATGTAAATGTTTTGGGGCATCAGTAGGTCAGTGAATTTTGCAGGGATTAAAAGCCAAGCGTTGTTTGTAATAAATAAATGTTTTGGGGAAAAATCAGGAGCAGTGCTTGATGATGGCAGACATTGCACAAAACATTGTGTATGTCCAATTAGAATACAACTGCAGTCTAAAAACAAATCCTTCATCATAGTGAGGTAAAAGGTTAAACACTCTCTCATAGGAACAAAGGGAACATTTTCATTCATCATGCATCAAATATTAAAAGTTGCCATTTAGCCTCAGAGTGTCTCTTCTTCTGCATCAGGTTGTTCCCTCAGGCAACAACATGCATGGCACACATTTTTCTAGGTGTACAGTATTTGCAGGAATCTCAAGGTTCAGTTATCAGACTTTTAAGGGACTATGCATTTGCATTTGTAACAAAGGTCTCACATACTGTTGGTCAGATTTAAATCCAAGACATCACATTTTCAGCCTTGAAGTGGTTTTGTAATTTGCAACCCATTTCCAAAGGACTGCTCCCTCATGTCCAACGGTTTATACCAGAACCCCGAAATATCAAGTAAGACCGATAGCTGAAGAAATACAAGATGCAAAATTGTGCAACCAAGTTAAATGGGAGTGTCGGAAAGCTAAAAGAGAGCATGAAAGAAAAATTGCAAAGGAAGCCAAAGAGAATCCGAAAGCTTTTTATAATTATGCCAGAAGCAAGCTAAAAGTCAATGCCACAGTCGAAGATCTGAAAAAGGCCAATGGCAGCCTGGCTCAAAATGACAAGGACAAAGCCAATACACTAAATTCCTTCTTTGCTAGTGTGTTCACAAAGGAGGATACCTCATCAATACCAGACTTCCAGGGCAGACCATTTAATACTCCACTAAATAAATTGGACTTCACATCAAAGGACATCCATAAAAAACTATCGAACTAAGATGCCTCAAAAGCATCAGGACCGGATGGCATCTATCCCAGGATTCTCAAAGAACTGTGTGACGAACTAGATAAACCCTTACTTACTATATTAAAAAAATCGCTTGATGAAGGTGTGGTACCCAGAGTTCCCGTTAGCCGGTAATTACCGGACTGCGACCGGTAAAATATGCTGAAGACCGGCAAATCTAAATCTCTCCGGTCAAAGTGTCCGTTAAAAATAATTTCCGCTTAGCTAAATACCACATCAGTTGCGCAACTTGCACCATTTATGTGACAGACAAAAGAGTATGTGACAGACAAGCATAGTCAATTCTAATGTCTAACACTTAATGTGGAGAAAGAGATGTCCTGTATGGGTTGATTGTGCGTTGATCTGTTGGCAGGCCCGGTTCCAGAACAAAATGACTCAGGGTGCATCTGAGATTAGAGAGGGTGCAGGGGTAAATTGCTATTTTTATAAGTGGGGAGTGGACCTAACACCCTCTAGGGGGGTCCTCAACTCCTCTAGGGGGGTCCGGGGGCATGCTCCCCCGGGAAGATTTTTTAAATATTGAAGTTAAAAGCATCAATCTGGTGCACTTTGAGAGCAAAATGAAGAGATCTATGGATACATCTCAACACCCATATGAAACAGAACTGTAAACAGATTTACTTTTTCTTTATGGATATTTTAGAAATCACTCCCCTTTTAAACTGTATTCTTGTTTTACTGTCATATAGTATTTCATTTTTAGTGAGTGAGTTACTCAGATGAGTACCAGGAGACAGCGGTTGGTACTCTGGTAGACAGGCATCTGACGTACTTGAATGTCTACATGCATAGCAGAAGATGGCATCTTTTTTACATGAATATTCCAGCCAATCTCTGTTTTTAAACCATGAGCTGCAAAATGAGCGCCTTACCCCACTGTACAGGCGAGTTGGGTGCTCGACAGTGGCCGCGGGTAACGTAATGTCCCCATGATCTGAACTGTTATTACCTGCAGTAGATGCAGTGTTACTGCTGGTGATAAGAGCTGGTTGTTTTAACCATTTTCTGATGTCAATCATTGACTATATTCTTCTTATTATTCTTATTATTACTACAATTATTATTATTGTTATTATATATGTAATATTTTTCACTTTAGATTTTTTTTTTCTTTCACTTTTCGTTTTTCAAATGAGGGTGCATAACGACTCAACTGAGGGTGCAATGCACCCTTATGCACCCCCCTAGAACCGGGCCTGTCTGTTGGTAATGCCTCGGGGTTCCGGTGGGCATGTAAACAAATGCATAATGATACGCTATATGTTGCGGCCTCACCCGGTTGCATAGCGACGCTTATTGTTTAGGTGTCTTTTAATAAGCAGGTAGTCATATCATTAGCTAGAACTAGCTGGATCTGATCGATATGGATATAAACGCGAGTGAAGTCTAATCTGACGGGAGAGAGAGATCAGCTGCTGCTGACGAGTCGACACTGTCATGATTCTTGTGTTATGTCACGTTTTAGTTTTGTATGTCTTGTTATGGGTGTGTTTCTGTTCTCTCTGTCATGTTTTCCTCCTTGTATATTGTCTGGTCCCTCTCCCTGGGTTTTTCCTCCCTGTCGTTAGTTTCCCTGGTGTGTCTAATTGTTTGATTGTGTTCACCTGTGGCCCTTGTGTTTCTCCTCCCCTGCCCGGCTGTTTCTCGTCTGGTGATTACCCCTCCCTGTATTTAGTCTGGTCTCTTCCTGTGTTCAGTGTTGGTGCTTCTTTTGTTTGTGACCTAGTTCACCGTAGAGTGTTTTGTTTGTTTCCATGTGATATGTTCGATAAGAGCCCTTGAAATAAAGGTATTATCAGTATTATCTGCGTTTGGGTCCTACCTGCTTCACTCCGCGTATCAGACACGCAGCTCTGCATGATCACATGCAGCGGTGAGCGGACAAAACACACACTTCAGGTTAGAATATCACACGTAGCTATTTTAATTACCTCTCAAACTACCTAAACTAGTTATAGATGTGTTTAGTTTTACTGTCGGGTCACTCATTACTGATCCTCGAGCTGCATGATACTGACGGGCTGTCAGGAGAGGGAGAGAGCGCTCCGTTTATTATTCCCGTGTTATTGTAAATTACTGTACACTTTTGAATAATGTAGTTAATCTACTATAATTAGTTTGTTTAATATCGAATCATTTCAATTTGTTTTAAAGCTCAATAAATAACAAAGAAGACCTTTGACCGGCACTTTTCTCATTTTGTCCGGAAGATTTAAACTTTAACGGACATGTTGACCGGCGAAAAAATATTCTAACGGGAACTCTGGTGGTACCACAGCCTTGGAAGGATGGTCATGTAACTCCTATATTCAAAAAAGGTGACCGAAACAATCCTGGAAACTATAGGCCTGTCAGCCTTACAGCAGTAGTATGCAAACTCCTTGAATCCTTGGTGCGTGATGCCTTCATAGAACATCTCGACTCAAACAACCTATTATCAGACCGCCAACACGGCTTCGTCGAGGGCAGATCCTGTTCAACCCAGCTCCTGGCTTTCCTTGACATATGGTCTCGTACCCTGGACGAGAGAGGAAGTCTCGATGCCATTTATTTGGATTTCCAGAAAGCATTTGATACTGTACCTCACAAAAGATTACTGAAGAAGCTCTATGGGTATGGTATCCGTGGAGACATACTCACCTGGATCTCAGACTTTCTCAAAAACAGGCGACAGAGAGTCTTTGTTAATGGGAAACCATCTGGATGGTGCCCAGTTCTCAGTGGAATTCCACAAGGTAGTGTCCTGGGTCCTGCACTGTTTGTCCTCTATATCAACGACTTACCCGATAATGTGAGCTCCATGGTCCAGATGTTTGCAGATGATACTAAAATCTTCAAG